TCACTTCGCGACGGTTTTATGAATCCACTAGTGCGATTTTAGTTAAAGTGTATTTTGTCAACGACCGTATACTACCTTCCTACATTTGTGTATCTATGTAAGTATGTATAGCTTAAATATGGAAAAGAGAAACTATCTTTAATCTCGATAATAATTTAATTGATATTATATAACAACAAAAAGTCTACCAAATTTGTCAAACACAAATAAAAATGTACATATATTCATTATAAAGGTATTTTGTATTATTTTTCATAATTAACACAAGGCTTTTTCAACATCTACCCTTCTATTATGAGATGGGTATTTTTTGAGGATTTTTCCTGGAAAACCCACCCAGAGATTGCTCGGAGCGATAAAGGTTAGGTAGCGCCATGCGGTTAGTTATAAGTTGAATGCACATTGTCACACAAAAAACATCAAGTCTTTAACCGATATTACCAAAAGGGTCGAGTGCAGCATGAAAATGGTTATTTAATAGTTCCTGAACAAAACAAGTGGTTATTTTTGTACTTGATGCACAGCTTTACTATTTTTCATCAGATTTTAAAACCCAAACTTGAAGAGAGGATTTATAGATCCTAAATATCATGTAAAACAATTTCTTGTAAGACTTAGATTGTTGTGAGTTTTCGTTTGTCCAAGTTTTAAAATCCTTATTTTTCCTAATTTTTCTCAACTTAAGCTATTTCCAATTTCAAAGACTTCTCAAAAAATTACCAAATAACAATTTAAAAGTAAACTCATTTTCGAACAAATTCAAAGAAATCCGATCAAAAATTTTTTAAGTTAAGGAATTGAAGTGGAAATACGGTCTTGCATTTTCTTGGATTTTTAGATATTTTGTGCAGTGTAGCTAAGGAATATATCAATATTCTCTGAAAACTTATAAATAACGTTAAATTACAGGCATCTAACCCTAATTTATTTTTCATGCAAATATAGGTTCGAGTATTTTTTATGAAGTGTGAAGTAAAGCGTTTTGTGATATAATATTACTTTTCATTTAGTGAATTTGGTGCAAGGTCTAATAAATAAACGACTCCTTTCAACCATAAAAAACTTAACCTTTCGAACGGTTCTTTGAGATAACGCACCTTCAGTTACGCCTCGCTTACCAGCGGTTTTTTTTTTCAAACGTATGTACATATATCTCTTGCGTTATTTTTTTGGTATTTTTATGTACATCCATATACAGTAGTTATTGGATTACTTTTTTTTTTAATATTTATCGTACTGTAACTTAAAAACTGATTAAGCACAAAGCAATAGTAATTACATACATATTAATGTTCACTACAAAGTACACACATATTTATTTATTTGTACATTTAACTACAAATCAATCTTCATTTCACTATCGTATCTGCTCATCAATCGCATAATGTGGCCATATCAATTCGATCTTTTTCAC